TATTGCCTAAACCAATTTGGGAAGTTTTAACTGAAGTAAGTCATTTATTAGAGATATATGCTCTACTGTTTTGAGGGTGAAATATATGGAACAGTTAGAACAGAACATTGTTGTCACGTTGTGCAAGCTTGAAAAGATTTTCCCTCCATCATTTTTTGATTCAATAGAGCATCTGCCTATTCACTTATCATATGAAGCTAAAGTTGGAGGTCTTGTGCAATATCGTTGGTTGTATCCTTTTGAGAGGTACCAAAACTTTACTTTTTACATTATCTTTTTCTAACATTCAATATGAAAATATGTTTTAATACTTATACTACAGGTTTCTACACCACTTGAGAAAAAAGGTGAAAAATCGAGCTCATGTTGAAGCATCTATAGTAGAGGCATACCTTGTAGAGGAAACATCAACATTTTGCTCACTATATTTTGAGCAAAATAATGAAACAAGATTGAATTGTGTACCACGGAATGATGATGGAGGGTTTTTGGATTTCAAAGGATGTCTATCAATTTTTAGTACGCCTGGACAACCACTTGGCACCCAACGTTCTAACTTTAGGTTAATGACAAATAAGGAATTCAAGGCAGCTTCACTTTGTGTTCTCTTGAATTGCCAAGAAGTCACACCTTTTGTGGAGTAAGTAGTTCTACTCATCTATGAGTACCTTCACAGTAGTTGCTTATGATTTCTTATCTTCAGGTTTTGGATGATAACAACATAGTTGATCCTCGTATAAAAGCTATGGCTTTGGGTCCATCTTGTACAGTGAGATATTACAACGGATACTTTGTAAACGGTTCTAAGTTTCATACTTTAGATTATGGGCAGCACAAGACGACAATGAATAGCGGTGTTTGTGTATTAGGAAGTTGTCATAATGACTATGAATCTGACTACTATGGTTTGATAACTGAAATACTGGAACTTGAATATTTAGGAGAAGCTGGAAAAAAGCTTACTTTATTCAAATGTGAATGGTTTGACAATGACAGTGGGATTAGTGTACATCGACGATTTGGTCTTGTTGAGACAAATCATAAAAAACAGATGATGTATTTATAATTGCTTATCAAGCTCAACAAGTATATTACACGAGTTTCCCTTCGAAGACCAAAGATAGACTTGACTGGTGGGCGGTTGTAAAAACAAAAGCAAAAAATGTTACCAATATACAGGAAATCATATCAGAGAATGAAGAGTGCAATGTATGGTTAGAACTTGCATTTCAAGAAGATTGACCATTTTTTAGCCAGCAACCTGCTCGAGTAACTATAGAGTTTGATCAACAAAATTCAGTGTGGAAAGATGTTGTGCCTGAAGAAGTACCAGCTGTTGAAGAAAATGCACAAGATGAGTATGGTGAGTATAATTTCACATCAAGTTCAAGCGAAGAAGACACTCATTGAAGAAAATGTTGGCATTGACGTAAATTTTCTGTGCATATTTTATTTCAAAGTTAATAATTGAGTGATTACATTTGATTCTAGTAAGAGCTAATTTATTTCAACTTTTATTTGAATTTTAAGCAACATAATTCCCATGTTGGTGTCTTACTGATGTGTTGATATTAAATTTTTGTTATTTTTATAGAAAAAGGCTGTAATTTGCATCACAACAGGAAGCCAAGCACTGGATTAACTACTGGAAGAAATATATTTCAAGTTTCGTTAGAATTCCATGCAACAGATGTATAATGCTTAATTCACATTATCAGTTGTTTGTATTTGATTTTCTATTTCTTTGACTAGAGAAGAGTCTATTAATTCCCAACTTGAGATATACAAAAATTCAATTTTTACAAAACGTAGTACAATTTCAAAACAGTGGCATAAAAAATAGTTCAAAGAAATTGGCATAACTTTCGCATACGGTGTCCGTTTTGGGTCCATAACCCCATTTCGAAAAGCTCGCGATGATTCTGAATGAAATCACTGCTTTGCTATGAAATATGATGAATTTTGGCCGTTTGAATTCTTTTATTAAGTCAAAACATCATTTAAAGTTTCAAAATTTATTATTTTCATTATTTGTTATTTTCGCTTTATAGCCCAGCCATTAAGAGACTACTGGCCCAATAGGTTATTTGTTCTTTTCATATTTAAGACTTTGAAAATGCCTCCTAGGTTTTTGATTGTTCATGAAATAAGAAAAAAATGTTGGTTTTCTTAAGTTCAATCCGTTTAAGTTATTATCATTGCCTATTTGTAGATTCGATCTATATCACATTTCAAGAATACTCGGTAGGCTACACAATTTATATGGACATAATAATCATGCATGTACATTTGTATTCTTACATATTGCTTTCGTTAATAACTAAATCAATGATCAAACATTTTATTTAAGGGTCTGATGAGCCTCTATGACCATCAGTTAAAATTAAAGTTTTGATGAGCCTATACGACCATCAGTAAGCATATAACTTTTCTACCATTTACATTCAAGGAAAAACCATTAAGGAGCTTTACATACCTTCATATGCCAGCATAAAGAATAATATATATAAATGAACATTAAATCCATATAAGAATCTGTATATGTATTTTAGATACCAGAATCACGCATATCGTATATGTAATATACCGTTTCTGCAGCTTACTGCATTTACAAGTAACTTATCGTATTTGCAGGCAGCCTGTAGTATATCGGCCCACCGTATTTGTAGCTTACCGTATATGTTGCTCACTGTATTTGCAGCTTATTGTATACAGTGCTCACCGTATTTATAGCTTACTGCATATACTATTTACATATTTTGCAACTAACACATACCGGATATGCTCTTATATATACCGACATGTAGAAATACCATATTGCATTCACTAAAATTAATATGTCATTTGCCTAGGGGCTAGTAAAAAAACGCTGAAAAACCTTTATATTTAACTCCCAAAAATTCCCTCCCAATCCCAAAAATTCCCTCTAGCTTTTCACTGTGTCAAATTCCCAAAATTCTCCCTCCCAATTTTTTTGTACAATTTCCTCACAAATTTTCATGTATTCCCTCCTTTATCTTTAAAGTGTTTCAATCGCTAGATATCTATAAAGCTTTTCTTATATTTACACTTTATGCTTTTCAAAACTACTGAAAAATCGGTATTTCTTCCCTTTTATATATGTGAAAAATTTATCTATATCTCTAACCCTATTGAATACAAGATGTCTACAGTACGATGGCCCTCCAAATGTTGGTCTCATAGACCAGAAGATGACAAAGATGAAGAATGGGATCAATATGGGTCTCAATCGTCACTTTCTACCGAGGAAAAATGGGTTGGGTCTATTGGAAGGACCAGGAGTGGGTCTTCTGAGGAAGAAGATGGTTGTCATATTGGAAGGACAAGGGGCCCCAACCATGGCACAAATGTCTCTGTAGATGGCTCAGGAAGAATTATCTTAGAATGGGATAAAAATAAGTAAGTCGGCAGTTTTTGTTGATTATTTCCTTTCTTTTCTGTAACATATAATAATTCTATGATATGTACAAATAGAGTACAATAAAAACCACATTGTTAATGATTTTTTAGTTTTTGTAATAATGTTCGTGTTACAGTTTTTTTAGTCTAAAAGGAATTGAAATGAGTAAAAACATATTTTCAATTTGGTACTTATATTGGCAAAATATATTCAATATTATTGTTGTTGATATGAATTTTATAAAAATAAGTGTCAACTGATCAAGATAGAGCTTTTTAAGCCGTCTGGTTCTTAAACCTGCATTTTGAAGCATCATAATTTTCAACCTCATGTGACATAAGTCAGGATTGATTGAACGTAGTTTTATTACCATATCTGCATCATGTGACATTAGTGCTACGATGAAGGCTTATCTTGGAGGGCCTTAATCAACCTTTCGTGCAGTAGCAAAGGCAACAAGAACGCTCTTCTGGAAACAATTTGAGGTTTTTATCATTCATTGTACCAGTTGTGTTGTAAAATCTGTTGATGCATTATAGTTATAATATCCTGCCCTTTTTGAAGCATCATAATTTTCAACAACACTAGTTAGTTTTTTCCTTTTAGTATATATTGGATTGTAAATGAAATTTCTTGGAATTTGTGTGTGTTTAAGTTGTTAAAATTGAGCAGCTTTAAAAATGCACTTAATATCATGATACTATGAGTCATATTTATTTTTGTGTTTTGCCTGTGAATGAGTTTCATCTAGAAATTTGGATGCTAGCAAAGTACATTGTACAATTACTTGTTATCTTATCCGGCCCATTTTGAAGCATCATAACTTTGAGCAACACGAGTTTAGTCGGATTCTGATGTGGAGTTGGTGAAAATTGAGATTTACAAAGATGACAACACTAGCAAGGATCACGGGTATGACACTGAAGAGTGCCTGGAGTTAAAGAAGGAGATTGAGAGCCTTTTGAGACGGGGGCTTTTGAGCAAATATGTGAAGGACAATCGGGGCAAACAAAATTAGAGGATAGCCCCTCACCCAAAGCCAGAGTAATAAATATGATAGTATACATGTGGTAATAGGCCGAGACTTGAACTCGGCAAGAAGACTTGGTAGGCCTAGCATACCCCCACGATGATATTTTGGTGATGATAGGTGATATAGCAAACTTTGACATTAAGATGGTGTTGGTCGATGGAGAAAGCGCCACAAATATCACTTGAGATGGTTTTCTAGGTCTGAAGATCTCCCTCAAAAAGTTAAAAACAGCGACCACCCCTCTAAAGGGCTTTGGAGGGGCCACAGTGATACTAAAAGGGATCGTGGAGCTCCCAGTCATACTAGGTATATATCCAACCACTGTGGTGATCATGAAGAACTACCTAGTTGTCAAGACCCCAGGTCCGACGGTTAATATAACCCACGGGCTAGGCGGAGAGCCTTTAAAGTCAAAAAATTGGTTAAAACCCTTAACCGTTAGACCTCACGCCTGATGGTTGACATAGCTCATGTGGTTAGGCGAAGAGCCTTTAAAGCTAAAAAATTAGCTAAGGCCCTTAACAGCTAGACCCTATGCCCGACAGTCAGCATAACCCATGCGGTTAGGCAGAGAGCCTAACCGCTAGACCCCACATCCAACGGTCGACTTAGTCTACACGGCTAGGCGAAGAGCCTTTAAAGCCAAAAATTAGCTAAGGCCCTTAACCACTAGACCCCAAGCCTAGCGGTCAATATAGCTCACTCGGCTAAGCGGAGAGCCTTTAAATAAAAAAAATTGGCTAAGGACCTTAACCTGCGCTGGTTGGTCAACACAACACGAACGACAAAGTGGAAAGACTTTGAGGTTGAAAAACTGGCCAAGACCCCGAAATTGTTGGCCCCAAGCCAAGCACGAGCATAACAAATACCTTTTCACAAGCTACCATGCGGTTAAATGAAAAAAATAGTGCAAGAGAGAAAATTAAATCATACATAAGAGTGATGCACATACAAAGGGAAAAATTTAACATTGATAACAATTCAATAAAGAAGCATTCATACTCAAAACATATGGTGAGCTCCTGTTCATATCCCGGACAAGTAGGAGAAAAAGAGATGCACAAGAATGAAATGCAACATAAAAAAGGGAGAGCCGCCAAGGAGACTACTACTAAATTGTGCTTCAACTCAAAAGGGAGGCTCCTTCACTACCGCCTCGCGACGAATGCCCAAAAGACCTAGACGAATGTGGCCTGCTCTCCTT